ATATATATATGTTCCTTTTTTTTTCATGTGTCCATGTTTGCTTATAACTTATTCCAGATGCTGAGTATAAAAGGAAGCCAGCTAAAAATAAAATTAAAGCTTAATTGATTTTAAATATCACATTGTAGTTTGCAACCGTTTGACCTCTCACCTCATTTTAACATTCATACATTATCACTATAGTTTAAGGCATTCGAGTTTTGAGGCATTAGGCTCAGACATTATCAGTGGGATTTATTTCTTTGAGATATGAACTTCTTAAACAAAGAAGTTTGAAAATAACTTCTTTGTTTAAGAAAGAGACAAAATAGAATGAATATATCAAAAATTTAATACTATTGCCTTAAAAGTAAATATTGTCCAGAGAGTGGAGAAGTACCTTGTTGGAGGTTTGTACTCTCCAGGTGCTTCTTGTTTATTTATATTTTCCACCATGACAGAGCACTTTCTCCTTCCTCCTGCTGCATTAATCGTCCTTTGTCATCATGACCTTGGGAACATGTAGTAAACAATTAGGAAAACGCACCGTCATACTTTCAGCACATCTAACAACTGTGGGCTGCATTTCAAGAAAGATAAAACCTGCGTCCCAGAGTAATCTATTTCTTATTACCAAAGTAATCAAATTTTCTAAGAACAACCTGAAAGAACATGTGCGTGTGCACACACACACAAGCAAAGATACTTAAACAAAGAAATTTAAAACAAAAGAAACTGACACAAAGTGCTTTACAGTCACCCTCATTTGTAATCAGGGTCTCCAAGAACCCAGTTAAAAAGTTGGAAGTAATTGAAAAAAAGTCAAATAAAAATCAAAAAATAACCAAAATATAAATATATTATATATAAAAATTCTAATAGTGGTAACACAGTGAAATAAAGCAGCAACAGGAAACATTTATAGTGAGCTCGACCAAACTGAAAATGTGTTTCCTTTAAAGATGATTTAAAATCATCACTTATTATAATTGTCTTTTATCTGTATCAGGTGGTCAATTTTATTTGCTGTAGAACAGAATAGAACCGTATTAATACCTTTTTAATTTCCCCTGAATGGAATTATGGTTCCAGCAGCACAACACAACACTAACTGAAATACGAATAAGAAAAAAAATTACCAAGCAGGTACAAATAATTAAGAATAGAACATTAAGAATAAAAAAATCAACAGCAGAATTTAAAATGGTAATAATGAAAGGAAATCCAGGAATTAAAGTGTAAAGTGTAATACATTGGCAGTGTGTTTGTTTGGTTATTTCACTGGGTTGACATCGTCCACCCCTCCCCTCCTCTTCCCCCTCACCCTTGATGGCTCAGGGTACAAAGGAGATTTTAGGCCTGCTGGTTTTGCTGCTGGGGAGGAGCAGCCCATTGCTGATCGGGAATCTCTGGGCTTTGATGACAGTATGCAGAGTGTTGCTAACGTCATCCATGTTTGGCAACAGTCCTGTTTTCTTCCACAGTCATCAAAGATATAAAAGCTTTAATTAGTTTATCTGAGTAATAGTGACTGGAATAAAGATAATTTTTATAGTAGGCTGTTATCTTTAAATCACTCACTACCTAATTTATAGCCAAAGTATTCACTCACTGTCTCTGTACTGTTTCGCTAGCTTAGC